CCAGCACCACTGTCATCACCACCACCACTATTGTCATCACCACCACTGCCATCACCACCACCACTACTGTCATCACCACCACCATCATCACCACCACCACTGTCATCACCACCACTACTGCCATCACCACCACACCACCACCATCATCATCACCACCACCACTGTCATCACCACCACCACCAAAGTCGTCATCATCATCACCACCACCACCATCACTGTCACCACCACCACTGTCATCACCACAAAACCCACAACAAACACCTCAATAAACTTAAACCGAAAAACATATACAAATTTACCAACAGCCATTAATTTCCCTTTTGCAGAGAACATTACGCCCATCTCTACGGCCCAGTGGCAATGATAGAAGATAAAGTGAAGCCATTGGTGACGAAATCCGCTGCTTCTAAGAGAATTCGCACGATATCTGTCTCTCCGTCGCATAATGATGAAATTCTGCTTCAACCCAAGTTAGTGGATTATTGTTGTTATTGTTATAGTTTTTTTTTATTGTTATTGTTATTGTTGTTATTGTTATTATTGTTATTATTGTTATTGTTATTGTTATTATTGTTATTGTTATTATTATTATATTTTTTATTGTTATTGTTGTTATTGTTATTATTGTTGTTGTTGTTGTTGTTATACTATGCTTATTTATTATTATATATGGTTATTTATTATTTATTATTATTTATTATTATTATTATTTTTTATTATTATTATTATTATTATTATTATTTATTATTATTATTATTATCATTATTATCATTATCATTATTATCATTATCATTATTATCATTATTATTATTATTATCATCATCATTATCATTACCTCCGCCAAGGAGTTTATGTTTTTGACTGCGTTGGTTTGTTGGTTAGTTTGTTTGTTAGCAGCCTAGCTCAAAAAGTGTCGGCCGGATTTCATCGAATTTTGGGGGACAAATCAGAAAGGGACTAACTTAGAACTGATTAAATTTTGGTGACATTCCGAATTACCGTCTGGTTATTATTATCATTATCATTAATTAATCAATAAAGTACACAAATCTACGGTAAACGTGTACCACATTTCACTGACATTCCGAATTACCGTCTGGACGCAGCAGCGGTGTAAGTACATTATAGACGCACCTCTCTGAGTGCTTTTCTAGTTATTATTATTATTATTATTATTATTATTATTATTATCTTTATCATTATTATTATTATTATCATTATTAATACTATTTTTATTATTGTTATTGTTATTATTGATATTATTATTAATAGTGGTAGTGGTAATGGTAGTAGAGTGGTAGTGTTCGTGGAATGGTAGTGGTAGAGGTTAGTTTTAGGGGAGTGGTAATGGTAGTAGTAGTAATGGTAAGTAGTAGTGATAGTGGTAGTGGAGTGGTAGTGGTAATGATAATGGAGTGGTAGTCTTGTTGGAATGGTAGTGGAGTAGTAATGGTAGTGTTAGTGGAGTGGTAGTTTTAGTGTAGTGTTAGTGGAGTGTCAGTGTTAGTGGAGTGTCAGTGTTGGTGGAGTATTAGTGGTAGTGGAGTGGTAATGGTAGTGGTAGTGGTAGTGGTAATAGTAGGAGAACTTGTAGTATTGGTAGTGTTGCTAATAATATTACTATATATTTATTTTCAGGTTTTACATGAAAAATGTTTAATAGCATATAGTTAAAAGGAATCAGCACTTGGAGGAAGGGGTTAAGTTTGATTTTCCAAAGATAGCTTTTCATTTTTATTTTTGCCTTTTTTATGTGCGGTGATTCCACGTTTCATAGATATTTGAATATTTACGATGTACAGTATGATACCATTACCGATTGACAGATATTTGATTGCTTGCCGAAATCGTAACTAACTGATGTCATTCGTTGCAGTTTAAGCTTAGAAGACGAAGAAGACGATGAGTTTGAAGAAGAGGAGAACAAGGTTATCCAACCAGCTGAGTACGTTTCTTTTTTCTTTTTTCTTTTTTTTTTTTTTTTTTTTTGGGGGGGGGGGGGGGGTGAACTTGTTAATGGTATGTTGTCATGTTGCTACTGCTGGATGTTCATACCTGCAAGCACTCATAAGGGTATACAGCTGCAGCTGTATTTGCAGGTAGACTTATATATACAAAAATATGCATACTCTTGCCTATGCATGTATGTTTCTATTTATATATTACTCGGAAACACACACTGATACAATGAAAATCCAGCATCATAAGTATCCCAAACTGATTCCAACATCACTTCCAGGCCAGTAGAGCTGAGAAGGAAGCCCACGTACTTACCTATAAGGAGGAGCCGAGTGGCGTCAGAATCCAGTGTCACCGAGCCGCAGGTACAGCGGTCTCATGATGCACAAACACTACGGAAAGCCTTCAGAAACAACCCCTATAATAAGGTAAGGCTTTTTTTTCATTTCTTTCTCTTTTCTGGTGATTTGTCCTTCAGAATGAATATCTTAAAATTAGTATCTTTTCTGTTACATGGGATTGAGGTTTACTCTAATATATG